GGGGCCCATCTTTTCATTTTGTTTATATTTTCCTAATGCAAATTGTGACTTCTACCCTGGGAACATGACAAAGTCTTTCTTCACAAATGCAAAGAAGACAGGAAACTCATGGTTCTCACAAAGCAGCTTTGACTCTTACTAGATGTGATAATTTCGTTAGCAGGATCCCAGACATCAGAGCACGGATCAGTGAGCCAGACTAACAAGCCACAAGGGCTCCTGTCCACCCATGGAAAGTGGCTCATCTGAGCAGGGTCCAGTCTGCTCTTTGTCATCCCGGGCCAAACTGTGCAACTTGCTTAGTGTGAGTTCCAGAGAAGCAGATACAGGATCTCAGTCTCTGCCTTTGTTCCACCACTGGGAGCTCCAGAACAGGACTCCTGATCATTTGTCTCCAGCTGATCCCAGGAGACAAATCAGCTTGTGCAACTGTCTGCTCAGCCCCTCTAATCCCTGCTGTGCCTGCAGAGCAGTGCAGACACCCCTGCACTGGCCTGCGGCCAGCCAGGACGCCAGCGGCAAACTCGCCGGCAGCAGCAACCTCTGCAGAGCAAACCACTGGAGTATTTACCCAGCTTCTTGGGTGGGTTTTGCATCTGGCAGAGTTTTGTGCTCTCCCAGCCATGCTTATCCTATGCCCTGAGCTGCCAAGTTTCAAGCACACCGAGGTATAGCTCCTCCATATAGCAATGGTGGCAGCCACCGCAGTTTGACCAAGTCTGCAACGGTTCCAAAGAGCACATTTCCTTGTGATGTTACCACACTCTATTTGCTGCTATCCCTAAGTGCTGGATCATTCTTTTAAATAAGGCCTTCAGACTCCAGAGTTGTATAATTACACGCCCTCACCATATTAACTTCCAGTTCCTAATCTCTCATTACTGCTATGTCAGACAATGCTACAAAACAGCAAGCTGAAGTTGTGCCGTGGCTGACCGCCTGGTACCAAAAGAAGGCACATTCAGATGAGATATGCTGTACTGAAGGTATTGCTGAGATTTATGGTTAGCATGTAGGGGGCTGAGCCCTTTTATATGATACCAAGGAAAGAAAAACAGATCCAAGGCAAAGTAGTTAGGGCTGGATGTTATGGGGATATGAGGCCTGCCCAGTGATTCAGCTTTTCTTCTGGAACATGACGGTGTGTTTTCATAAAAATGGCCAGAATTACATCCCCTCATGGCCATCTACTCACTGCTTCTGAGAGAGAAGCCTGTGCATTCACAGGTGACGGTTTTACCAAGTGGATCAAACAAAGTCAGGAGGCTGGAAGTCTTCTTTAGGAAGAAATTGCCTTGAGTCTATACAGACTACAAGACTACACAAAATATATGTAAAATTTCAGTTACAAGATAATGGGCCCATCATTTGTCAGTCAGGGGAGCTCAGCGTAGTGCTTGCCTTTGCTTCATGCCTTAGTTTCACTACAGGTGGACATGTCTAAATTGCTCCAGCAACATATAAAACCATGAAGGGGTTTTTTAAAAGCCTGATCATTAGACAAATAGAAAGGTTGGTGGAACAGGACCTAATTAATTATGTCTATCATACATGGAAGAAGTAAAATGAAAATGTGAATTGCTGAAATGAAAAATAAAGTGAACCTTTGTTCAGGATTAGAAATAGGCAGTTGGGACCTAATTATACAATGCAATTTCTGAGTAAGCGGATCCTGCAGGAATAAATGCTGTGCAAAAATAAATCTGCTGCATAGAAAGTAATATATGCTAGAACACAAAGGATTTGGACTCCTAACAAAAAGGTATTTAGAGACTAATACTGATGTTGGCTGTCATTCAAAGCGTACCCATTGAAAAGAAAATAATAATAGATTAATAACATGAAACATTATTGAGGAGATGATGCCAGTAGGACTGGGAATAAAGAAATGTCACAAGTCTCTCCTGCAGGAGGGCTCTGATGCTGCCAGAGGGCAGATTCCCATGAGCCCCTTCCTTGTCTCATCTGTGCTGGGAGCTGAGGTGGGATGGTGCCAGGCTGCATGATGGAGAAGCAGCTGGTACCTCCTGTACAGCAACAGTACCTGGCTTCAGGAAGCTGAGGCTGGAGGTTCCCAGACCATGCTGTGCACCCTAGCACTTCAGCCTGGGTCCAGTATAACACACAGCAGCTCCTGCCCAGCTGGGGCTTCCTTCTTTTGCCCCTGGAAACTGAAGCCTGGGGATGGAATGCATCAGCAGAGACTGGCAGTTTGAGGAGTATCGAGCCTCCAACATGTTTTCTGCATGGGGCAAATCCATGGAGGACATTCCGGTTGCCTTTTATGAGTATAAATCTAGTCTTGTTGTATTTCCACGCGTGCAGAAGAAGAAAGAAAGAGGGATATCTTTTGTCAGTTCATTCCCAGGCTCTTAAGTCATGAGGTTAGGGCTGTGGTACTAGGCAGCCGACATTTCTGCAGCAGCAAAGATGAAAGTCAGACAAAATAATCCAAAGAAGTGCTTAACTGTGACTATTAAGTCCCAAAGGATTTATCAGAGTTTACTTTCCTCTGACTTCTAGGAGAGACTTCGGCTGAAGTCCATTAAGCAAATTAAAAAGCAGAAGGAAAATAAACACAGATTAATGGAGATAGGAATTTTATGAAGGAAAGGAAACAGCCAGACCTTGTGACAAAGCTCCTGGGCTGCTATTCAGGTTTTAAGGCCCCCAGACCTTATAAATGGAGGAGATTATTCTCTTCACGTTGCCCTGCTGGTAGTTGTAAAAGAGAGTTAATAGAATTTTTTTTCCCCCACTGAGAAGCCCTGTAGAAACTCGAGTAATAATATAATCCATAATGTTTCAGTTCAGTGCGTGACATGCAGCTATTTGTTCCTTTGTTTCCAGGCAGGGAATCGAGCTGTAAATCTTGTAGTGACACAGATACTGTACTGGCTCTGTGGCATTTTATCTCCTGCTGAAACTGAAACTCATCTGAGCAGCTTCCCACACAATTAGGAACTAGCATGTCAGAACAACCAGGCAGGATTTCTGTATTTATTACTTTGGCATCCGATTAATATTTAATCCAGAGGAGATATCACAGACATGTTTGAAACCTCATTTTGCTTGTTAAAAAATACTTTGAAACCAAGAAGATGAGTAAATTATGTCATTATGGAGCCCTGTTATTTATTATCTTCAGATAGTTTAAATTAAAACAAATGCTCCCATAAGGGGGAGATTCTTTCCGCTGCTCCTATTCTAAGTGATTTTCTAAATTTCATTGGGTTTATTAGTGTTCATGGCTGAAAACAAAGAGATACCAGAATAGTAAGACAAGATGAATAAACAACTCCACCTTTCTGTGTGGCCAGGCCCTGGTTCAGCTGTGTGGTGGTGGTACCAGCCTGTGGGGCAGAGCTTGCTTTGGTTAACTCAGCTGGAGATGCCAACACAGCAGTAGCAAGCACTGACCACCCTAGGGGGTACAGAAAACCCCTTCGTGTCCTTGCCACAAACCTGAGGAAAACAGGCATGTTCTTATCTCTTTTTACTGCCTTGACTGGAAGACTCTCTTGCTAATTGTCTTTACAGCATCTAACCCAAGTACAAGTGTGTAATTCATCGCTTGCCTCTGCTCATTGATTGATCTGTGTGATAATTCTTGCTTTGCTCTTTATTCATGGACAACTCCCTGTAGAAATTAAAATGTTTTGGACACAGATTTACTTGAATTTTGTTCATGGGATGCCACCTCTGCCTGGCTGGAGGCATTGGAAACATTTCTGCTATTATTCTCGGTGAGAAGGTGATATTTCTCTCTCTGTGCAAATATCCTGCAATATGATATAATTTAAAATATAAAATATACCCCTGCCAGAAGACTCCATTGTGGGATTAGTTTTCAGATGAAACAAAATGAAACCCAAAGGGGTGTCCCTGAAAACCACAGCCACAGCTATGATACTCCCTGTCTGTGCTGCATCCCTGTTCCTCTGGTGTGGGGCAGGGCTTGTGGGGACTCATCCCTGGGTGAGAGGGTGGGAAACATTCTGGAAGGGTGGGTAGTTGACAGGGGACACCCCTCTGGGATGCCCACCCCAAGCCTGGCGCTAAGCCCCATTGCTGGAGGTACCAATTTCTCTAGGTATACATGTTTTTTTAATTAAGCAGCCCCTACTGCCCTTGCCAGCAGAGGATGTTCATCAGAGGCATCACTGGAGGCACCCCATGCCTCTGCCCCTTGCTGCAAACAGCTCTGCAGAGCTGCAAATGTCTCTGGTTGCACGGGCCCCTGGGCATAGTCTGTTGGGGCTGCGGGACTGCACTGCATTGCACGCCAGAAAGCAAACCAGCTGGCGGGTTTGGTAAAAGAGGGTGCACAGGAAGGAGGAAAGGAACAAAGGATAGATGAGAAATAACCCCAAGGAAAGGATTTAAATTCTGTTTGTTAAATTCTGTTTAAAAAGTGAAATAATTCTTCTGGCAAACTCCCTGGACTTGTACAATGCAACTCACTGTGTGTGCTGGTAATTATGTAAAAGGTGATAACCAGGGCTAAGGGTTAATGAGTTTGGGTATGGCTTCCCAACAGCAGTGAGGTCACTGCACATCACAGCTTCTGCTCAGAGGCTGACCAGCACTAGGGTAAGAGGCCAAGATGTCTGAGCAGCTAAAGCATGTAACCCTTCCCTTAGCAGGTCCCATTTGTCAACTTTCCAGTTCCTACAGGACACCTGACCTTTCACCACTAATATAAGAAAACTGCAAAATGGCAGTGCCTGAAGCTCTGTGTTTTCCATGTCTGCACCAATAAAACCTGTTTATGGCCTGGACTGCCCAGCACAGCCACTGAGTACGTGCATGCCTGCACGCATGGGTGCGTACATCTCAACGGCAGTTGGGAGCAGCCCAGGGTCACCAGAGCCAGCAGTGCAACTACCTGCCGGGGAACTGGCCTTGGATGTCTAACTGTGCTTTACTGCCTATTCACATCTTGTTTTTACCTTTTGCCCTGGGGATCCCAGTTTGTGAAGACCAGCAGCCCTGCAGGAATGGAGTCTCCCCTGCAGCTGCTGCTGCTGGCCTTGCTGACTGAGGCCACCAAAGCCAAGGTGTTCAGCCAGTGCAAGCTGTCTCACATGCTCCAGAAAGAGGACACTACGGGGGCTACAGCCTCGCCAACTGTGAGTTTCAGTCCCTTGTCTGCCCACAGCCTTTCCCCATCTCATGATGGCAGCTGTGGCACAGACTGAGTGCCTTCTGCTCCTGCCCAGGACTCTGCATGGCCTTTTATGAGATCACCTTCAACACAGCAGCTCAGAGCATCAAAGCAAATGGCAGTGCCAACTATGACGTCTTCAAGATCAGCAGCCAGCTGTGGTGCACTGATGATCACAGCCCCTTGGATAACGGCTGCAGGGTGGCTTGCAGGGGTACAACAGCACTGCTCCTCCAGAGCCAGCCTGAGGAGCAGAGGCAGCAGCCCAAGCCCTCTCGCTCTGCCCAACTTCACCTCCTGGCCAAAATGAAGCCATGGGTCATGAGGGGCCCAACCTGTTCAACTTGATGCCTGTGGCTGCAGGAAGTTGAAGTGATGAATGGCTGGGTCCAGCTCCTCTTTTTGTCTGTGCAGGGTGTGGGTAGTCCCACTGACTCCTGAGGCTGAGGAGTTAGAGACCATGGCCATTGCCAGAGGCATTTGTGCCAAGCACCATAGCATCACTGCCCCAAACCTTCTCCAGGGTTTCATCTTGCACCTCTGGTCCAGCTCCCTTCCCTTGCCATGTATCCATGATTTCCTCTACTGGGATACTAGGGACCCAGGGCTCTCTGGGTGCTTTGACTGTGGGCGGAAGATCTAGGTGGGTTGTGATGTGGGGCTGGATGAGATAAATGCATTGTGGAGTGAGCAGTGGGGAAAGCAATTCCTCAAGGTGTGTTACTGTCAGGCAGATCCAGGTCTTGGCAAAGGGTCTGCCACTAGTGGGGAGCTTTCAGGCAGACATGGGAAAGCTTTTGCTGTGTCACACCAGCAGACATCCTCCTACATGAGAAAAACCAAAGTCTGGGAGGTTGGGCCTGGACCTTCCGTTCCTGTGCTGACCAAACCCTCTTTTTCCAGATAGGCAGAAAACTCCCTAAGAGCATTTTTTCCCCAGCAGAGCAAGCAGGAGGGGATTGAAGTATCATAAGCATAGATGGGTTTGCCTCACATTTTTCCCAATCCTTCCATCTCTCTCTCACATGTGATTACAGTGGCAGGCACACCAGCATTTGTGGGGGAAAACATACATTTATGGTTGTTGCTGGCCATGCAGAAGCAGATGAAGGGGCCTGCCTGGCAGCATTCAAGCACATGAGGCTGATGGCAGCCCGGCAGTGGGGAGAATGAACAGCATCCAGCCCCACACCGATGCCTGGAGCGGCTTGAGTGCCTAGCCCTTGCTGCACCCAATGGGGAAATCTCCTCCAGCTTGGTGTCCTGCCCTCAAGTGAGCTCACAGGTCTGTGATTCTCTCTCCCTGCAGATATGCTATCGAGTAACATAACTGATGACATCATCTGTGCCAAAAGAATTGTGAGAAACCCATAAGGAATGAATGCCTGGTAAGGGGCTTCAGGGATGGTTCCTTTGGCAGGCCTCACATGTGTTTCTGAAGGCCGCGGCTTCCCTCTGCCCAGCTGTCACACAAAGACAGCACAGCCTCACTAAAGAGGAGGAACCACAACTTCAAGGTTTTGCAGATGGGTGGGAATGGAGAGACAAACTTGTACTGCTTCAGTCTCTGCAAAGCGTCTCACAGGAGAGACTAGGGAGGAAAGAGCAGAGAAAAAAATGTTTCAGAAAAAAATTTAGGTGCAAAATAAATGGTCAGTAGCCAGTCCATCAGCTAGTAGGTTAGCCCTTGAAGATTTCTCTCTGTCTTATGCTTTCAAAATCCTTCAAATAGCTTCTTCCCCACCTTTTTGCTGTCTCTTAGCTGGAAGCATCTAGCATGGAAGCAATTCTTCCCAGAGCCTTTGAGAGCATTAATCACTGAGATATCTTGATTAATCTAGATGACAACCCTTGTTTCGTGCAGCCCTAACCATCCCTGAGACTCTGGGCTGCTATAACATGGGAAGACTGTAAAGGCAGAGTAACCAACAGGCTGAGAAAACAGAAGTGGGGGTAGAAGACAACTCCAACGATCATATAAATATATAGTTTCTGAAATCCCAATGCATTTTGAGCAAAAACAGTAGCGTTAACCACTGAATCCTGAATACATTCCAAGTTGAGGGACAAGATTCTGCCTTCAGATTAACCCGCCCCCTCCCCACCATTGCAGTTGGACTCATTAACCGGTTTTGCTTCCTATGGTGGGCTGCTGCAAGGCCCGGCTCACCGCAAAAGCAGCAGTGTTCCTGGGTAGAAGTAAGTAGTTTGTGTGACACATGCAGTGAATGGGCTTAAAGCCCTTGTGGTGAGCATTTCTGCTGCATGGTCCACTGTGTGCTCACTGTATATTGGACAAATCAGCTGTGATGTCCCAGGGAAGGAGGGACCCTTGCAGCAGCAGGAGGTGGCAGGACCTGCCATTGCAATTCATTGTTCCCGGACAGGGCTTAGAGAGAACTCAGGTGGCACCAAGGGACAGCAATTGCTGCACTCCACAATGGGAGACACTCATCCAGAACTGGAGGGTCTGCAAGTCCTTCTTCAGGGCGAGTGATAGGAGGTGCCTCACCAGGAAGGACCCTATAAAAAACAGAACCTGCTTGTATTGGATATGAGTTATATCAGTCTAGTACCCAAATAGTGTCTCTGCTTCTTCTGTCCTCAGGGAGGGCTGGGCAATGTGCTGCAAGGGATGAGACCTGTCTGAGGGGGTGGAAGGATGTGACATGTGAGAAAGTCCCAAGCTCAGCTCTGCTGAGGCTGACAGGGGCTGCCTCTCCTTCTGCAAGGGGAGAGCTTTCCTCCTGCTGCACACTTCCCAGTTCGTATTTGCCAATCCAATGCACCCCACAAGGTATAAAATAACTTTAATAATATAGCATGTTTTTAAAAAAAAAGAAAATAAACTTGACTTTCCATTTTCATATGTGATTTAAGATCCAGTCCCAAAAGATTTTCACCAGGGGCTTTTCTGTGCATGTTTGAATGGAGCAAGGAAGTGAAGGTCAAGAGCTGGGTGGATAGCAACACCCTTGGGCACAGCTGGTTTTTCCAGAGTTTTCATAGAAACTGAAAAAGGGAAGACCTCAAAAAAGCATGCAAATCTTCAAGCTTTCCAACACCTCTTATTTATATATTTGTCATAAAAGTGCAGCAAAGCACAGCCCAGAACCTTACTAGGTAAAACTTGTATCCAGTCAGGAATGTAAGCTGTCCCTGTGGAAAGTCAAAGTGCTGCACAGCCCTTTCGTGACTGCCACGGCAAAGGAGCAAAGTGAGCTCTCCTGCCTGCGATGCAGCTTGTGCCATAACTGGCTGGTCCTGCAGCGAGATTTCTACAGCAGTCCCTAGCTGTGTATGGAAGCTAACCCTGTGCCAGTGGTGTTCCTCCACCATGGAAAGGCCACTGTGAAGTGGAAGAAGATGTCTGTTGTGGGAATGGCTGTGACTTGCAGGTGGGAGGATTCAGCAGAGGGACAGAGAGTATTAAAGAGAAATTATAGTGGTGGTGGTGGCTGTCACCATAGATGAGCATTAACTCTGTCGTTTTCTTTGAATGCTTTGGAAAGTACAAAAATACACAGGAGTATTTTTTTTTTTTTATTATGTTGTGGTGGCTGCGCTTGTATAAAAAAGTACAAAAGAGAAAAAAATCACAGCAACCTATTTGTTGCCATTAGATGGGGATGGATCAGAATCTTACCTTTGAACACTGCCAAGCTTTGAAATCTAAGCCTAGCTCTAGAGATGTAAGCCAAGGCTGGACGCTTTAAATGCGTGGTGATTGCCACTTCACCAAAAAAATTACATTCAAATCAAAATGCTGGATCCTAAAAAAATATATACTTTAATCTTTGGAAGATCCTATTCATTCCTGTTCTAAGGAAAATCTGGGACAATTTCTATACAGTACCAGGAATTAAGTCACAAATTTTGATCTGTGACTTAGTTACATATTTTCTGTTTTTCTGGAGATGATTCTGGAGATGATCCCAAATACTTGAATGTTAATGCTGGAGTCCTGAAGCAGATAAGGAAACACAGGGGAACTGTGTTCACTTCTGGATATGGTTGGCCACAGTTCTGTCAAACCACGTCCCATAGAATTTCTGATATCTTCCTCACCAGAATATGCAGCTGACTCACGGCAGTGCTCTGAGAACATAGGGGAGCTGCCTTGTGTAAGGTGTGACAGATAGCCTGTCTCTTCCCATTCACTTAAGGCAAAAACCATCCTCACTTTTACTTGGAAACCGAGTAAGGAACTTGCTTTCAACCATATCCATCTGAAATCCCAAGAAAGGCAGAGAGTATCTTTTCCTTGTTTTCTTGATGAAAGCAAATTTTCCATTTATTTCTAGGAGGTAGTACTTGCAGGGGAAATTTGGTAATCCTTATGAAAAAACAATATCCCCCAACCTGCAGCCCCCCGGTGACACAAGGACTGCAGGTAATCTGGCACGCTGTCAGGTCTGAGCACTCTAACTACTTGAGGACCTTGCCAGCACACACGGACAACAGGGATCATGAGATCATCTATAGGCACATTTTAGAGGAACAAGAAACCTCCTACCAAGACAGAAACAAATTAAATAAAGGGCCTGATCCTGTTTCTCCATGAATTTAAGGGAAGCAAGCAGGACTGACCTTGTAGGGTATGTCATCAAACAGCTCTGGGTTGCTTGAGAGTATTTCAACACTTCCATTATATGCCCCATCTTTCAAACTCGGACATAAATACTCACTTGGCAGAAATCTCAGCCTACAAGCAAATTAGGAGATTTGTTTTTAACATTTTTCCACTCACAAAGAAAAAAAGAGAGAGAGAAAGAGCTTTTCTTGGATGTTTTTAAGTTACTGCTGCTATGCAGTAACAGTTACCGTCTTTGCACTACCCCACATTCAAAAAATAATTCACTTATTCTTAAAGAAAAAAATGTAAAATTAATTGGTTAATTGATGTTATAATCACTATTTTCAGCTGCAGGGGACATAGGTGATACCAGGGGGTCAACCAGCCATCAGGAAGCCACTGCTAGAACAGGAATGGTCACTTGGCTGATGTGTGGCTTGTGGGCCATGAGAGACTGTGAGCCATCAGGCCATGGCTCACAGCACTGAGAGCAGGACTGTGCGTGACCAGAGCTCCCAGGTGCTCCATGCACGTGCATGGGGATGGAGCAAGGCAGCTGGGGCTACTGAAGTCAGTGTTATGTACTACCCCAAAACTCAGCTTTGTGTCCAGCCAGACACCCCTACAGTGAAGCTGGGGGCTTTTCTGTCATCTTCAAGGGAAGCTCTCTGACGCCAAAGTATCTGTGTAGCTGCTACAGGGAATTGAAAGTGTTGGTATGAGGTTTGTGAGATCAGAGAGGAGAGCTGGTCCTCTGTTCTATGATCTCCTCCATGATCTCCAGCCCCACACTCCCAGCTCTAGTGAACAAATCCAGAGGTGCCAGATCCAGCTGCACTGTGAATGCAAGAGACATCCCAGAGCACCAACATGTCCCTGCCAAAGGTACCGCTGCAAACTCAGTTTCTCTGTTTACTTTGCTGCTGGCCAAATACCACTACCTTCTTCCAACCTGAGTATGTAGCCAGATTTTGGGATCCCACCGATTATATTTATTAGAAGAAACTGAAGATGAATTTAACTATTCCTCAATGCAATCCCCTTTTTTTACAGACTTTCAGAGAGTGTACTGGGACACAGGATCATTCATGCAACCAGAGAAAATTATTTGCTCCCGATTCAAAATGAAACTTCTTCTGGTGCCCTCCCAAACTGCTCCTTCTGTCAAAGCCACTCTGTGTGGTCTGGCATGCCAGATGCCAGGCTGACTCTCCTCTGCATCTGCTTCTGGGCTCCCTGCATCCCGCTTTTACACATGCACACACACACACACACACACACAGAGCCCCTAACATCACTGATCCCCTGCATGTGCAGGCTGGGGGCAGGTACTTGCCATCAGCCATGGAGCACCTACTCTCCAGGCTGTGGTCCCTGCCCACTGGTGTTCAGCTGTTACAGCTACTCATCCAAGAGCTTACATAAAGAAACACAACTGTTTTACACAGATCCTGAAGGAGAGGCTGGCAACTTCAGTGTAATTTAATCTAAACCAGGATAAAACAGTAAATATTGTTGTGTTTGAGTAAGGATGGAGTGAGTAAAGCAGAAGACATTGAGGAAACACCTTTAAAATTCACAAGGGGGGGGGGAAATATTGAAAAGGTACAAAGCTTTGTAGTTGGGCCATCTTCCCTGAAAAATAATATATTGTTATAGAGACTGGAGAATCTGTTTAATCCTTTCAAACAGTTTAATCTCCAAACCCTCGCCCATATTCATGGCCTTTGTCAGTGATCTTAAACAGGGGAACCTGGTTCAGTGCACTCAGCTGTGTTTGGAACCAATCTAGCACAAAATCAGGCCTTCTATTCAC